CTGCACAGTAGAACCACCTAGAGAGCTTTAAGAGACTCCCACATCTGGAGCTCGCTCCAGGAAGCCTTTAAATCTCCGTTAAATCTCAGTATCCACAGCTCCGGAAGCTTCCTAGAAATGCAGTTTCAGAATATGCATTTTTTCCAGGATGCCGGGTGATTTGTACACGGAAGTGGAGTGTCACTGCCTTGGGGCTCACATTGTCCTGGCGCTGAACTAGCACGTGGAGCACAGTCACCCGTGGAGTTATTTTAACACGTCCTGCCCAGGTTCTGCCCCTGACGCTTGTGGGCCCAGGCAGGGGGTTGGGATGTTCGGCCCTGGTAAGAAGGCGTGAACCCAGCCCGAGCCTCCACCGAGCAGAGGAGAGATGGAGCCACGTGCCCAGTCACCCAGCTGGTGGGAAGATCAGCAGGGCGGACCGGGCAGGCCCGAGTTCTCCCCTGGAGGTGCCTTTCTGTCGTTCATACAGGTTGAATGACTCTCCCACAGCACCCCCTTCCCTTCCGAACCTGGATCTCTATTTCCGACGTTTGTCCCTGTCCCCGTCTCCGTGACTTGTCAGCCCCTCTGAGCTCCCCCAGCATCCTCCAGACAGCACCTGAGGCTGGGATTTTATCTCCCTCCCTCCAGGAAGAAAGAGAGGTGGCCTCTCCTCCTGCTGTGGCTCAAAGTCACACGGGCCCCACCTTTCCCCACCCCGGCTTGCGGTCCCCTGGTCTCCAAGTCCTGACTGTCTGTGGCAGTGCCTGAAATGCCACCGCAGGAGACGCATCCCCTAGGTTTAGGTGCCACCCCCCAGATGGCGCCTTTTATACTTTAGGGGCCCCAGTTGGGGAAACACGGGAAGCTGATATAGTCACTAGCGCCTTGGCATGAATCAGTTTATCGGGCTTGATCTATTGCCACCAATCGAGAGGCTCCTTGGGGCACTGGTTTCTGGGAGAAAGGGCCCCCCTGGAGCTGCGTGAGGCTCCACCCAGGACCCCCAGGAACACCAGGGCCCCCAACAAGGAAGCGGAGCCACTGAGAGGGCTGGGATGGGGTTGGGAGACCAAGGACAGAAGAGGAGACGGGTGCCGTCCCCCGAATGCCACCACCTCCAGCCGGAGCAGAGAGAGTGACCGAATGCAGCGATTTCTGGGCAGAGTTCAAAGGAGCCCCCTCTCCAAGGCTTTCTGGGGCCTCCCAGGGCCGGCTCTGGGCTGCTTTGAGCTCTCCTGCCCTCGACAGGGGCAGACCAGGGTAGGAGACGGTGTGGACGAGGTGGTCGTCGGGCCTCAGATGACCACGGCTGGTCTCACTTTGCAACAAACCGCACTCGGGAGGCCTTGCCGACCCACCCCGCGACCACAGCCCTCCGCCGGGAAGCCAGGCCCAGGCCCGCAGCCCGCTGGGGAGACTGAGGCAGGGCATGCCCTACCTCGCCGGCGACGTGTTCAAACAGGTCCCGGAACTGTCGTTCTTCCTCTGTCTCCTGACCAGGTGGACTCGGCTCTGCAGGCTAGAAGACAACCGGAGGAGCTTGCACCAAAGCACCCATAAAGAGACTGAGGAAAACTAGCAGGAAAGAAGCAAGACCTCCCATGCCCAGCCTCGGTCAGCATGTCACCCTCTCAATGTGGCAGGCACCAGCCACTGCCTCAGCGTGGGCAAGGGCAGTCGCTTTCCAATGCAAGCTGGCAGGACGTTACCAGCGGGGGTCACCGCCTTCCCGTCCAAGCTCTCACCACCGAGGCTGGACGTGCTGGTCCTCTGTCCCGATGGACAGTAGAGTCTCTGGGGACGGCGGTCTGCTTCCAGCACCAGGCCAGTAAGTGCTCGGGGTATTGCTTTGGTTTTAATTTTTGGGCACCATTAAAAAACCATGCCCCAGAGAGGGCAGCTGGGAGCAGCGGTCCCCTCCTAAAAGCAGGTTTCTGCTGAGCCTGGACGCGTCGGGCTGCTCTGCCACATCTCGTCACCTCGGGACAGCCTCCCAGCCCTCGGACGGCAGTGGGACCAGCGCCCTTCTCCCCTCCACACACACTGTGTCAGGGAGGAGGATGTGTCCCCTCGAGTCCACGGTGAGAGAATACACCTGCCTCTCTAGCTTTCTTCTTTTTGGATTATTTTAAAAATAAAATACACTGGGGCCAGCCCGGTGGCGCACTGGATAGTGCACCGCTTGGGAAGCGCGGCGGCGCTCCCGCCCGAGGGTTCGGATCCCACATACGGACCGGTTCCCGCTCACTGGCTGAGCAAGGCGCAGG